GACCTTGCGCTTGCCAGGCAGGCGCTTTTGCCACTGAGCTAAATCCCCAGCCCCTCAGATGGGGCTCTTTCTAAAGCGCAATTCCTCGGCAGACCTTGACCACCAAGCGCCGCTGGCTGGTTAAGGTCCCATATCCTTGGGTGCATCGCAAAGGAAGCTTCCACAATGACAGGTCCTGAAGGGGGAGAAGAGGACGCAGGGAGGCAGAGAGGGGTCAGCTCCTCCTGAGGACACCTGTGCTGCAGAGGTTTTCTTTTTATATTTCCTGAGCAGCTGGACCACCCCAAACTGGGTAGGCTTTTCTCTGCATATCACACCATGCAATCGTCGGATGGCTGAGTGGACTGTGTCAGAGATCAACTAAATTCCAGAGAGATCCTCCTCAAGCCAGCGGATAACCCACAGACATGGGACCCCAGTGACACGCTGGGACTCAGAGATACCCCATCTCACACACGTCAGCCAGGTGGAACACACTCGGGGAGGCCCGTGGAGACACCAAAATGGCTCTGCGGTCCCCACGAGGGCTTGAAGCTTACTTAGTTCTGACAGTGAAGAAGGTAGTGGTGGTGGTGGTGAGGAATTCCTGGTCAGTAGGCAGGTTTACTATTCCCCTAACTGTGCTTTAGTTGACCAGGGACTTACTAGCAGCTAGAGAAGCACACATCTTCTCAGAAACCTTTGCCATTTTGTGGAGAGCAAATTGTTCCACCAGAAAGGACATTTGATCTCAAGGGCATTTGGTATCTTGTCTGCTTCTAGCTCTATGCAAAAAAAGTACATGTGTCAAAATGTATCAAGTATATTTCAGCAAAACAATAATCCCTGGTTGAGTATTATAGGTGAACACGGCATTCCTCTAGCAGAAGCTTAACTATTTTGTCTGGACTAGTACTTCTAAAAGTTCCTGTCCAAATATTTTAGGCTCCAACTCAATGGGGGGAGAACAGCTCCAGTCCACCATCCTTGGCCATAGTATTGGGCATAGTATCTATGACAGCATAACCAGAGACACTGACGAAAGAGGACTTCCAGAGGTGCTACAGAAGGTGGCAAGGACGATGGGACAAGTGTGTGTGAAGCAAAGTGGAGTATCTGGAGGGGGATTCATGGTCACATGTGTTTTACTATAATAAATTAAAAGGTTGAACACTGACCACATGGCTTGATCACACCTCATAAAGTCCAGTTTGTCCCACCATGAGCTCCTCTCAATCTGTGCATAGCACTTTGCCGTCATTGGTTGGCGGATTCATGACTGCTGAAACCTAGGGCCTCCCTGCTCAACCGAGAGCACAGTGCGGAGCTGAGCCCAACCTTGCCCGCGAGGCGAGGCAGACTCCACGTGAAGGTCGCTGTTGTTCTGTCTGCCTCCCACAGAAGTGGAGAAAAGCCAGGGAGAGGGGTGCGAAAGCCCTTCCTGACCTGTCCAGTGCTGAGCAGCACAGGGACAGCGATGATGGCCCTGAAGACAACAACTATGATGACAGTAATTGTGCTTTGCACTCTGTCGCTTGGCTTGTTGACTGACAGATTCGATGCAGTTTCCCTGCATGGGGATGCCTACGTCCTTCTGCGAGGGGTCACACAGACGAGGTGGGGTACGGTACTCGGCTCCCTACCACTGCGTCGTCTGGGAAGTGGGGGTCATGGAAACCCTGCAGTGTTGTAAGAATCCACAGAATTGAGTCAACAGCTGCAAACTGCCCAAAGTTTGAATTTATGTAGCTTTAGAGGGACTGCGACGCTCCCCAGCAAAGGATCAGACTTCATCTGATTCTGAAGTAGCAGTGAGCTTAGCCTCTGAGCCTGACCCCCTCATCTGTGAAGCAGGAGCAGCGGCGTTCCCCTCTGAAGAGCCGGTGTGAGAGGGGGCTGTCCAGAGAAAAAGCGCCGCAGTGCTGACACCCGCAAGAGCTCAGGAACAGGAGCTCTCCCACCTTTATGTAGGGAGCATGAGCTGCTTTGAAGAAGAAGAGAACCCGGCTGAGGCCATGGCTGTGGCAGCTTCATCCTGCTCCAGCCCCGGGAGCTGTTGTGCTGTGGGTCCGTGAGCCCCAGTGCAGTTCCTGGGGAGACCCCAAGGCTGAGGGAGCCGCAGAGCCAGGGCTGGGAGGCCGGGCGCTGCCCAGGAGGCGGTACCGCCCGGTAGTGGCTGCTAGGAGGAGGCTGTCGCAGAGGTCTTACACCCCCGAGGCAGCGCTGGCAGCCACTAGGGTGACGGCAGACACTGGAGGGCAGTTAGGGTCCCGTGCCACCCCCTCCTGGCTCTGGCCATTCGCGTATCGGATGGCCCAGCCCACACGTCACTGCATGCTTGTCCTTCTCGGATTCTGTGAGGCCCAGGTGAGGCCCCCGCCCTGGGTGGCCGTAGCTCTGCCCAGAGTCCTGTGTGTGGGCACAAAGGGACAATTTCAAGTCGCTCTCTTACTGGAAGTCGTGCTGGGCAGGGACAGCGTGGATTCGTCTTAGGTTCCCAGGTCCTAGTACAGCGCCCGGCACAGCGGGTAGGTGCTCACACTACATCAGTGTCCTGACCTTGCTTGGCCCCCTGGAACCCGAGCGGGCAGCAGGGCGGGGTGCCGAGCACCTCCGTCAGATCTCTTCCTCCTCGCTGGCCTTGCTCCAGCGGTGGCAGCAGTTGGCCGTGATGCCCAGCAGGAAGTTGGTGGCCACAGACGCGATGGAGACTACGAAGCCCACGAAGGCGATGAAGAGGTAATCGTCCAGCGTCAGCGTCAGGTGGCAGGCCTTGAAGCTCTCCTCCGTGAGCGAGAAGAGGGGGGCGCCCTCGACTTCCGGGGGACCCCGGCACTCGGCCAGCTGGGAGTCTGCAACATAGAACCCAGGAAGGTGAGGCGGCTGGGGAGAGAACAGGCAGGGGTGTCCCCGCCCCCCCAGGAGAAAGGAAGTCACCCCGCTTCTTCCGCATGCCAAAAACTTCCTTATCTTCAGTCTGCCAGCAGCCCTCAAGGCATTTTCATGGCTGTGAAGAAATCACTGCTTGGAGAGGTCAAGATTTGCTGAAACTTCTGAGGCTACTGGCCGTGGTGGCCCTGGGCTTTGGGGGTAGGCTCTCGGAGGACACCGTCATCTCTTACAATGGTCAGCCTCGAGCCTGGGCTTGGGCCTCTGCTCGTACCCCACCTCATCCTTAGAGGGGTGACGCCTCACACCTCCCTGCCTTGGGCCTTCCCGTCCCCCACAGGATAGATGCGGGGTCTTCCCTTCCCTTCCTGCCCGCTTCTCTCATCTCACGGTGGGAAGGGGCTGCCTGTCTTTGTCCCTTGTGAGGGGCCTTTTCCGGGACGGGTCTCTCCACAGTCCAGGACCTCACTTCTGCCCGGACTTGGCTCAACACCTCTTACCTGTGGGGCTTCCCCTTGTGAGTCTGTATAAAGTAACAACCCCACTTCACAGGTCCCTGGACTCCCTGTCCTGCCGACTCTGCTGCATTTCTCTGCAAGTCATTTATCACTGCCTGACAGTTCCTCTGTTTACTGTGTGTCAAGTCTCCCCCTGGATGTAAGGAATACTGGCCCGCCCGCAGTAAGCACCCAGGTGATCTTTGCTAGGTGATGCAGGACTCTGCCCTCCCCCTGAGCCTAGAACACCAGATCACCTCGGACCCCTCCCTGCAGCTGTGCGATTGTCTGGCACGTCATCTAGTGCCTCTGCGTCTTGCTTTCTCTGTCTGCCAGACAAGGACAGTGGCAGCATCTCCCTCCCAGGGCTGTGGTGAGGAGCCAGGAGTTAAGGTCCATGAGGAGTGGGTCTGTGGCACAAGGAAGCGTGAGATGCTGTCCTTACTGGAGACCTGTGTCTCTTGGGTACGCTGGAGGGGCTGCTGCTTTTCCTTCCGTTCTCTCCAGCATGGGGGGCCCACGCCTCCTTCCAGAGCCTGCTTTCTATGAACGTGTGACGGTGCCTTGGAGGCGGGAGTGAGGGGCATTCACCAAGCAGCCAATCCCCTCTTGGTTGAGGGGCTCCACACTAGCTGACCTCCTGAGTGGGGCGAGTTTTCTCTCCCTTCCTGGCTGTCACGCACTGCCTCTGTAAGAAGGGGTGACCCAGCCTAAGTTTCCCAAGACAGTTAGTGTGGAGGTTTCCAAATTTAGGGTATGCACATGCTCTGTGTTCATTCTGAAAGTTTTTTGGGGGGTAAAGAACAAGAAGGTGGACTTGGATCGGCCCTGGTGACCCGTGGATGAGGATCACCGCCCTTGGAAATGGGGGTCCAGCTTGGGAGGTCGAGTCAGCCCTGTCGGCTGGGTGCTAGGACCCCAGGGCCCTCCCAGGCCAGGTTGTGTCTGGAGCTGGCCCACCAGGAGCTCACCCCCCCCAGGACCTCGAAGACGCTGAGCTCCAGAGTCTACTGAGCACCTGAGCTGCGCAGTAGTGTGACGGTGACAACTGGGGGCCATAGGTCAGCCAGAGAGGGCCTGGAGGACGACACAGGACACAGGACGGGACGCAGGGCAGCAACACATAGATCCCAAAGTCGGATCATATCCCGAGAGCTCCCTCAGTCTTTCTGTGTTTGTGTCTCCCCCCATAACTCATGGATAGTAGTGAGATTTCCAGCAGAAAGCTCATAGAGCACCACCGCGGGGGGAAATGTCACGTAACCCCCCTGCCCTTCGTGCCCAGGAGGACAGCTGACGAGCGCGGCATGCTGAGGTGCGTGTCCGGTGAGGAATGGCGGCCTGATCTCTGTGTGGCCTGCCTGCTTTCTGTCCGTGGGCCGGTGGCGATCCCCGCCCCTCTCTGGAGCGCAGCAGTCCCACTTGCTCTGAGGAGCGAGCGACCTCGGGCCTGTCCTGCTTGCTGGGGCTTGGGTTTCCCCTGGACTCTGGAGGGGCACTGGCGAAGCTGGGCACCTGACGCCCCTCCTGTCCTCAGCACACAGGACAGAGGGGGGCTGAGCTGGCAGCGACGGCTCCCGCAGCCTCCCGTCCTGCCTCCAGCCTCACCCCATCTCAGCCTCCAGCTATTTTGGTCCCAGGGAATGTCCTCCCACGGCTCCGTGGGAACACTGGAATCGTGACCCACAGCCCCCCCAGACTATTTTGGTCTTGGGCTCCCCACTCAGTCCTCCCCTCCCTCCTACTTCACAGGAAGCATGCCAAGCCCAGGCTGGGGAAAATCCCCGGGATAGGGCTGGGTGACTCCTGTCACCCTGCGGCGGGGCATGTGGGCCAAGACTTAGCATGTCCCGAGGGAGCTGATGCCGGGGGCCACTGCTGTACTTGCTCCTGGGCCGGGCTGGGCCCAAGGGGTGCATGGACCTGTGTGCCTCAGGCCCCTACGGTTGGGACTGGCTGATTGGATTGCTGCCGCGCGCTCCTGCCTTGGCCGCCTGGTCCACGTGTACCCAAACGGCCCTTGCTGGAGTCCTTGGCCAGCCCAGGACTCAGGCTCTGTTAGGCCAGAGCACAGTCAGCCTGCCAGGGTACGAGCCCTAATGCCAACACTTCCAGCTGTGTGATGTGGGCATGGTTCCCAATCTCCGTGCCTTGGTTTCCTCCTCTGCGGAGCAGCAGGTCCACTGGCACTCGTGTGAGGCTGTGGTGAGCTTAAATATGTATATGCTTAGGACAGGGAGGGGCAGGTACTAAATACTAAAATAAACAGTATTCTCACTTGCTCTTTTCAGAGAGTTTTCTTAGCACGCAAGGCATTTAAAAGGTAGCCTGGTAGGGCAGATTGAGACTGAGAAGTCACATAAACCCGGATTTCTGCATGGCCCTACCACTTTCTAAGCGAGTGGTTTGAGACACATTTTCGTGAGTCTAACTCTCCGTGTGTTCATCTGGAAACGGGGAGGTAGGAACGGGGGCTCCATGAGACGATGTGTGCCGAGTTCTCAGGCCCTGGTGGAAGCTAACAAACAATACCTCTGGTCAGCTCTCCTCCCTTGCTTACCATCCGCCTGCCTCACCGGTCACGAGGCCCAAAGAGGCCAGGGACAGTGGCTCCTGCATGCATGGGACCCCAGCACCACGCATGCACAGCAAGAAGGGAGCAAATGCTTGGAGACCTATCGAGCAGGCGTCCACAGGGCAGCACGCACTGGACCATGGGAAGCCGCTCAAGACTGCCAGGCCTCGCCCTCTCTTCCCAAGCCTTTGCTTCCGGAATCCCTCCCCCGGCCTTCGCCCTTACCCGCCGTGCAGCGCTGGATTCTGTTCCGAAGCCACTTGAGCAGCGGCTCCATGGAGCAGCCGCACACCCAGGGGTTGCCCCCGATCTGCAGGGTCACCAGGCCTGGCAGGCCCTCCAGCGCCTCGAGGCTGAGGAAAGCCAGGCCCCCATAGCTGAGGTCGAGGTCCTGGAGCTGCACGAGGCCCTGGAAGGCCTGGGGGTGCACCCTGCGCAGCCAGGGGTTGTGGCTCAGGTCGATGCGCACCAGCCCGTGGGCCGCCTGGAACATGTCGGCCGGCACGTGGCTCAGGTTGTTGTAGCTGAGATCCAGGTGTGCCAGGCGCTTGGCGTGGAGGAAGAGGCCCGGGGGCAGCTCCACCAGGGAGTTGTTGCGCAAATCCAGCACGTGGAGCTCCATGTAGCAGGTGAGGTAGCCGGGTGGCACGGTGGTGATGCGGTTGTGTGCCAGGCTGAGGTTGCGGGTGTCCATCGGCAGGTCGGGGGGCACGGAGAACAGCCGCTGGCTACTGCAGTCCACCACCTGGTTATGGCAGGTGCACAGGACTGGGCAGCTAGCACCCGCGTCCGAGGGCGTCACCCCAGCTGCCAGAAGGAGGGAGAGCAGCAGCACGGCAGGGCGGCAGGGCCCGGGCCAGGGAAGCTGGGCCCAGGTGTCACCCATCTTGGGCAGCTGGCACAGGCAGGACTGAAGGGCGCCCATCAGGCTATGTGCAGGGAGCCAAGCCAGTGCCCAGGAAGCTGCATCAGAGGCCACAGTCCTGAAGGTGGGGCTTCTGGCCACGTGGTCCCATGGCACCAGCCTCTCCCGGGGCCCCCAAGTGCCACGGCTTCCTGAGAGCCACAGGAGGGCACCTTTGGGAGCTTAGGGATCTGAGAACCCAGCCGAGGTCCCCCAGGGTCTGCAAAGATGATCAAAACTCGAGAAAGGAAGGGGACAAGGCTGGCACCGGAGCAGCTGCCAGCAGGTCCTGGAAGGGTCCCTGCAGACCTTCGGTGCCCCTGCCACCCATGCCTGCGGGGTGCTTCCTTTTGATATGTTGAGGGAGGCAGGAGGGAGGGGCCCTTTAAAGGTCCTGGCACTTCTTCTGGGGAAACTTAAGCCCTGGCCCCAGTCTGGGACCGATCAGGGAGCCAGCTCTGCACCTGGGTCTGCAGCATCTGAGGTTGCAGAAGCCCGTTCTCCCGGTGGCCCAGCTGGAGGGGAAGGCGGTCCCGGGCTGGGGTTGTCAGGCAGGGAGCCTGCAGGAAGGAGGTCTCCATGAGCCTCCAGCAGGCCTCGGTCCTCAGCCTCAGCGGCTGCTGGGATTACCTGGGAGGCCCTGTGTTCTCCAGGAGGGAGAGGACCCCAAGTGACACCCACTGTCTGGGCCACCAAAGCGGGGGCGAGCCATGCGTCCCGGGGGCCCAGGCTGGGGGTTGGCAGGGTTGCTCCGGCTTCTCCTTCAGACCGAGGGTCCAGCTCTGCATTCAGCAGGTGGGGGCGGAATTCACGCTGTTAACAAGGAAGGCGCTCAGGCGGAGGATCGGGGCCCTGCACTCCGGGCCCCCTCATCCAGAATCCCAGATCCCACCTCACTCATCCCTTTCCCCCTCTCTCTCTCTTTTCTTTGACTCCAACTACAAAGTTCTGTCTGCTGCCTTTCAGATATGGACAGGGGGGCTGCTGGAGCTCAGCCTCCAGTGGGGTCCCCCAGCAACCTGCCCCCTGGGCAGCAGCCACCTCCCCCGGCTCTCTGTCCTGGGCTGGCCGCCTTTTCTTCTGTCACAGCTCCTCCTCCATCAGCCTCGAGACCCCACCCTTGAACAGCTCCCTTAGAAAAACATGCGTCCACGCCGTGGTCCGCAGCACACCCCTTCAAACACTTTCGAGGCCGCCTCCCTACTCTCTCACCCCCACGCACCCCATTCTGCGGCTCCCCGGTGTTTTCCCTGCCCACACCCCTCGCCTCTCCTCTCCACTCCGGTCTGCAAGCCCCTGCGGACCCCCTCCCAGCGCACCCCATCGCCCTCCCTGCGCACCCCGGAGCCCGGCATCCTCTTGCACACTCCCCGCAGCTCCCGGCCCGAGCTGAGCCCACACCCACCACGGGCTGCGGCGGGGTGCACAGCGGTGCCCCCGCCCCCCGCTGTCCACCCAGGGTCCCCGCGCCTCAGTCCGCGCCTGCTGTCCTCACTTGGCCCCCCCGCACCCCGCTTTCTCTGCCGTGGCTTCCACGTTCAGCCTCGCCCACTGGGCAGTCCCCGGGGGAGGGGCGCCCCTCGATCCAGAGGCATTTCCGATGGGGTCCCGCACCACGCCCCAGGCGTCGCGGCTCACCGGTTCCAAGGACGCCCGAGCCTCTGCGGCCGCCGCTCCCTGCTGGCTCCCGGGATCCCCAGCAGACGCTGGCCCGGCTCCGCCCTCCCGGGCGCTGCTCGGCCTCCCGCATCCCGGGCCAGCGTCTTCGGTGCCTGCCGGGCCGGGGTCCCTGAGGGCCCTTCTTTCATCCGCACCCGGAATCCGAGGGAGGAGGCTTGGTAGAAAGTTCACGGAATCGGAAAGCCGCCTTGGGAAACTCAGCTGGGGCCCAGGCCGCCTGGGTAGGCGGCTTCAGCCGAGCCCGGGCTTCCCCTCCCTCCCCTCCCTCCATCCCTGCCCTCCCCTCGCGCTTTCTCGCTCCCCTTTTTCCTCGAGGGCCAGGTAGTGACGTTTTACTGTCTCTTAGCAACTGCCTCCACAGCTCGGAGCAACAGGAGAACTGGCTGCGGACCCCACGGAGATGGGGGAAGCAGAAGTACTGGGGATCCTCAGCACCCTGGGGCAGGGGGCAGGGGCAGGAGAGAGGGCACCAGGGCCCAGGACGGCTGCGAGGGCACTGCTGGGATCTCAGGGGCCGAGGGGGCGTCTAAGGGAGGCAGAGCCGAAGGGGAAACACGGTGTGGAGGGGAAAGGGACTCAGGGTGGGGAACACAGTCAGGGGGTGGGGGCTGGAGGCACCGATAAAGACCGGGAGAAAAGCCAGGTGCATGGACCTCGCGTCTGTCCTTGGTGCAGCGCATCCCCCCGGCCTGGCGCACCTGCCCCTGGGCCGGAGTGTGCTGTGGTCTCCAGGGCCAGGAGACCGGCTGAGGGCACATCAGGAAGGGAGACCTGTTCTCTGTCCCCAGACTGTCCCTCACTTCCGGCCCCTGAGCTCTCTGGAGCCAGGAGCTTCGGGTGAAGCAGACCAATCTCCATTGCTTTGGGGTCAGAGAGCCCCCTGGGGACCCAAAGGGCCTGGCATCAGGTAGGGAACCCAGGGCTGTGCGGACCCTCGGGTCTGCCTCGGGCCCTGGGAGCTGCGAACGAGGCCCGGGGGTCCTTCTTCCTTTCTGCAGGTCTCGGGGATTCTTTCTGATGCTGGATCCTCCGAGCCAGGCACCCGTTCCTCCCGCAGCCCCAGACGGGCATCTTGTGAGGGTGAAATTTTCCTCAGTTTCTTACCGACCTATGGAACAAGCCTACTGCCATCATCCCTTTAAAGAAAAACTGGCTTGGTGGCTGGTTTGATCAAAAGGCTGGCTTGTTTCCCTTTTGTAAATAAATATCTTCTGAACGTTCACCGGGTGCAGGGACCTGGCCAGATGGTGGGTTATACCTGTGAGGAAGACGGCATTGCTTCTGAAGCCGATGTAGGCTCTGTGTTTTCAGTCAGTTAACCTGGGGCTTCTTGGTTTAATCGTCTTAGGCCTTGCAGGGGAAATAAAATAAAACGATAGAAAAGAAGTGTGAACTTTTGTGGATTCTGGGCCTTGACAGAGTTCTGAGGACTGACACTGACACTGCCCTCATTAGACCTTTCACTGCACAGTGGCTGGGAGCCTGTTTTCCTTCTGTGCTGTGTCATGACCATCCTGATGTCTGGGGGCCCAGTGCCTAGGTATTCATGTATCAAATCTACTGAGGTGCCTGTGATTTGCACCTCCTTTCCTACTGAAAGAAACCAGCGATGCTCAATCTCACTTATGATTTTAGAAATAAAATCTTAATCATGCCAGAAAGATGCACGAATACATTGCAAGACATAATCCAAACAAAGTTAGCATTGTGCTTTGTTAAAATGGCAGAAAATGTACTTGTCTCCATGGAAATCACTATGAAAGGTAATTATGAAAGTCTAAGGGAGGGATTCACCAAAATTCTATACTTCATGTTGACTAAACAGTAGAATAGAGATTTTCTTCCTTTGCATAATATGAAGTCTATATGTACAATTAGAACCAATAACGTGGCTAACGGAAAATGCGAGTGACAGTTTCCTTGAGAAATCTGATCCAGGCAAGATTGCTTCATTATTGGTTGAAACTTCAGTTTTCCTTCTGAGAGACAGGATAACAATAATGGTGCCCGGTGGGGTTATTTTAGATCTGCGAGTTGTTATTAATAAAACACTTATTATACAGTGAACACAGCAGATAGGTTTGGTAAATGATCAAATAAACAGCAGAGTACAGAATTGCTGAAATAGTTGTGTGGAAAGGAAAGCAGATAGATTGCACCAAAATGAGAAATGAGGAGAGGAAAACATCACATTTGTGCATGATTGGAAGGTATTCTGGAACTAGACAAGTTGTAAAGTCCCCAGGAAGCCCCAAATGAAGAACATTATCCTTGCACATAATATCTGCTGTAAAAAGGAGGTTCACCGAGGTAGCAACGCTTTAAATGACTTTTTACTTGGAATCACTCTGTGACTCATTAAGGGATCATATTAGTCCCAAACTAGTGGCTCATGGTACACTATGTACCGTGAGAAAAATGTTTGTTCTCAAATAAGTTTGAGAAACACTGCACTAAACAGAATGAAACAATTTTTTGTTGGAAGGGTTCTCCGAGGATCTAACATGCGAGTGGTCATGACAAATCTCGAAGTGAAAGTGCTGGGTGGTAAAGAATATGTAATATCCAGCATTTCTTAAACTTATTTTGGATCTCTATTTCTACTCCTCCTTCTTCCCTCTTTCTTTCCCCTCTCCTCTTTTTCTTCCCCCTCTTCCTCCTCCTCTTCCTTCTTTTTATCAGAACTACTAATATTGGAACACTTTTTAATGGAGCATGGCTTGGGAAATGCTGAACTAAAATTTATTAAAGACAGTCCCTTGCTTAAATGTCTTTAGGACAAGGAGTTGGCTTCTGTAGAGGTCATTTCTTTTTGTGCAAAGAAATGCAACTTACTTTATGGGAGTTTTTATAGATAAACAGTAAACCCAGAGTGAGACAGTGAGTGTGTGATTAGCTGCTTCCCTTTGAAAAGAGACCTTCTTCTGCGCAGTGGTCTTGCAGGGGGTGTGGTTGAATTCTGAACCCTAGCAAACTGATATATTAGGCCATATCATGGCCTCTCAGGTCTCTTGTAAGTTGTGCAAGCCATGACCATCCAAGATTTACTCTACTGAGAAAATACACAGAAATCAAAGAGTTGTGGAGAATGAGTTGAAGAATAATTTGCATTGTTGTGGTTCCCTGAGTCAATGAGTTTGTAACAAGGGCAGAAAACCTTTGAACATGTGAGAACTCACTTAATCCACCCCATAAGAAATTTATTCAGGGAGAATGGTGAAGTCTTCATAGAATGAAGATAGAGGAAGCAGTGAACAGCGAATCTCTCTTACTGCTGGGAAAATTTAAAAACAGGGAAGATGGTGCTAAATTATCGTAGCTTAGTGATGTGTTTAGCAGAGTCTCATGATGTGGGAGGAGAAGTATTCGGAGAAGAGAACAAGCAGGATGCACAGATACGGTTGAAGAGATGACGATGGTGATGGCGACAGGAGATGCCCAAAGGTAAGGAGGGCAGACTCACCTTGCTAAAAGAGTGGGAAAAGTGTCTCAAGGGAAGCCCTCAGTGGTGTTATTCAACACCTGTGCTTTCCAAACTGATCCTGCGATGTAGTATGCTTCCAGCAAGCGAGTCTCTCTACCAGAGGACAGAGTATGAAAAATGGTCGGGACTAGAATAACCTTGAAAATAATCTGCATGAAGAAAGTCATTGAGATATTAGCTCCATACTTCATTTATCCCTCACTGTAGAAATACTAACTGGTCCAAAGAAAGTGACAACAACCAAATGCAAACTGGGAAGAACAGACAAACACACTGATCCTAGCCGCAGAGAGAAGATCTCTCTGCATGTGCTGAGGACATGGAGGGTGTCATGGGGCACAGGACAGCTCCCATCGAATCTATGACATTAAAAGGCCACAAGGTTTTACTGAGTGAAAAATGACAGAACAAAATAAGAGAGAAAGAGAAGAAAGGCAACGGACAAATAGATTTCAGACAGAAATGTGTGAAATGCATGCAAAATGTATTAAGAGATGCTACAAACATAGTTCTTATACACTGATGACTGTGAATCGCTCAGGTGCAAGTACAGGACAGATAGCACAGTGTCCCCTTGGGATAGGAGGAACAAAAGGCTCCAAGGTTGTCCACATTGTAACGCTGAACACCTGTGGATGTGTCACCGCACGTGGCACAAGGGACACTGCAGATGTGATTAAATTAAGGCTCCTGGGGGGGCGGAGATTGTCCAGGTGGTTTTAGTGTCACCATAGAGATCCCTAAAACAGAAGGGAGGAGGTAAAGGCCAGAGGAGGAGGAGAGAAGTAAGCAGGGGTTGAACACATAACACTGCTGGCTTTAGAGATGCGGGGGCCTCGTGTAAATGGATGTAGGAAATCTCTAGGAGTTGCAATGAACAAACCTGTCCTCCCAGACCCTCCAGAAGGGATGTAGCCCTAGTAGCCTGTTCCAGGCTTCTGACCTCCAGAATCATGAGATAATAAAATCAATTGCTTTACGTTGCCCAGTTTGTGATAATTTCCTATAGCAGCAATAGGAAACTAGTACAGTCCTCAAGATTACCGCCTCCTAGTTGAGTCAGCATAGAATCTGTGAATGCGGTGCGGTGTGAGTCTTAGGATTGATTTCATTCTCAATCAATCAACTGCATGTTAATTAAAAGAGAAATGACCCAGATGGGCCTTACCTAATCAGGAGAGCCCTTAGCAGGACCTGGCTCTTCTTGAATGAGAACTGACTCAAGGGATGTTTTCCACTGCTACCTCCAAGCGTGGAAGGGGACACTTGGAAAGGACTTGAAGCGACCATTAGTTGCTGAGACTGATCCCTGGCTACCAGTCAGCAAGAGAGCAGGAACCTCAGTCTTACAGTTTCAGGAACCTGAATTCTGCCAACATTAAGTTTGGAAGATGAGCAGCCTTGAGCTTCAGATGTGGATACAGCAGCTCCATGACTCCTTGTGACTGACCCTTGGGTAGAAAACCCAGCCATGCTGGGCCAGGACTTCTGTGCTGAGGGAATAAACAGATGTTGTTCTACACCAGGGAGTCTGTGGGGGCTTTTTTTGTTTGTTTGTTTTTGTTTTTTTTTCTGGTACCGGGAATTGAACTCACGACCTTGTGCTTGCCAGGCAGGCGCTGTGCCCCTGAGCTAAATCCCCAGCCCCTGTGGTACCTTTTTACTCAGCAATAGGAAGCTAACAGAGATGCCATGTGGAAAGCTGCATGGTGTTGCCAGCAACTAAATAAATGGAAAGAAAAGACCATGTCACAGTAATATGTTAAGTCAGTAACAATCAACCCATCTGTAAAAGTGTG